AGCGCTTAATTTGGAGGCCGAGCTCGTGGGGCCGCAGCGCGGCCCCGCGGCGGTGCGGCCGCCATTTTGCCCCGGGCATGGAGAGCTGAAAACGCTCCTGAAACGCCTCAGAAGAACCCGAGGGTGGTTCTGAAGGACAAATCTCACTCAAAAGTTAGCGTTTGTTTGCCCGCGGAATTCGGCACCTGGCTTCCGGCTTTCACCTCCAAAAAGGTGACGTTTTATGGTCCATTAAAAGGATTAATTTTTTTTTAAATAATTTACATGTCAGCCCAAGTTAATGCGTTGCTTTCCAGAGACCTTTGAATTTGTCCTCAAGAAGTTGATGTGTGTGCCGATGTGACAGTGTTAAAAATCTTAAGGAAATGGCATGTAAGGAAAAAGCAGCCAAATAGTTTGCAGAACAGCAATTTACAGTGGAGGTGCAGAGGGACTTGGCATTACAAACAAGGCTGGCAAAAACACTGCTACCTGCTGCCACAGGCATGTGAATGGTAGCCCTTTGCGAGAGTCCTAAATCCTGCTCCTGTTACTATTTTATGTGGCATTTGTTAATACATTATCTGATGAGCATTAAATCAAGTAAATTATTAAATATACTTATTCCTTCCAATTTAATTAAGTAGCAGATTGGCCAAACACCCACCATACCAGCCCTGAAAACCAGACTTGCAGTGGATAACAATGCTGTAGACATGCAGACCTCCCTGTTGCTTTAATTCTTGCTCTGGGGAACCTGACTGGCACTAAATGTGCTATGGTGTGGGAAAAGACTTTCATATCCTTCTCTAATAACGTATTCTGTGCTCTGTGCATGACAAATTCCACAGTTCAAGGGGCCTAAACTTGCTCTTACTGTACTAAGTTGCTTTACTAAGTTTATTAAGCACACACAGTGGACAGCTTAAAACCCTTTCCCACGCAGCTCTATTTAAACAGTGACAGTCTTTGCCAGGTGATATTGCAGATGTCAATTACTCAGGTTTCAAGAAGTGGTTGGGCAAGTTTGCAGAAGTGAAAAACAAGCAAGAGCTATTAACTGTCCAGACAATGCTTTTTGCTCAAGAAAGTCCTGAGCTGCAAATTAGTGGAGAATGGGGAAATACACTGAGAAAGTTTGATGCCCACTGGTGCAGCTCTTCCTCAGGCATCCACTAGTGACTTCCATTTTTTTTTTCCCCAGGAGGAGCACAAACACAGTGCCACCCTGCTCCCTGCCTTGCAATGACACAGAGACAGTTTTTGCTTTTGGGAAAATAGTAGAGGTCAGTACACCTCAGGGCTAGGGACCACCCTCATTTCAGGAAATTCCCTTTCTTCATCAGGGTATCACAGTTGCCACATGATAGAGGAGGTATTGAGTCGTGGGCCTTTGGGGCAGTTCTATCATGGCTGTGTTAGCTTTGTGAAGGCCATTTTTCACACTCGCCTGGCCATACCAATAGATAAGCCCTGGGTAGGTGTAACTGGAGGAAAAGCAGGCTTAGATCTGTATTTCTCAAAGCTGAGCAAACAAGCGGCAGCTCTACTGGAGGCACAGGATTGCCATGATGCTTGCCAGGCAGATGCCCCCAAAAATCAAACCCAACTTGATTACAAGTCCTGCAGCTGGAATAAAAGTTGGGGAAGTGCTAAGCTGGGTGCTCCTTTTGCCATAGAATTAATGAGAATGGCTGTAAGCATCTAATGCTGCTAGGAGGGACCATTCCGAAACTCCAGCCAATGAAAGCAGAGGCAATCACATAGTTCACAAAGAGGGCTCCTTGGTCAGGCAAAAAGACACATTCCAGCCTAACTGCAGAACCAGACAATTCTCTGTCAAACAGCCAATGGAAAGAAAAATGAAGGCTGGACAAACAAAGGGAGGGCAGAATCAATACCATGAAGACCAAAAATATGTGGCGTTTATGCATTATTATTCTATTCTCTGCAGATTTTGTCCAGCGGGACTCCAACCAAGTTGAGTAATAGACAATTGTTGGTAGCAAAGCTGAGAAGGACCAGAGCAAGTGCGATGGGAAAACCTGACTGACCATAGGATTATTAAGGTAGTGAATAGCTTTAGTGACATTGAACTTGTCTGTGGTTGAGACAATTATGGAAGGAGTAGTAGGAAAAAACAGCATAATAAAAAGAAGCAAATTAATGCAAACCCATCTAAACCACTGTGTCAGTCCATGCACTGGAAGATTTTCCCGACAAATACTCTCAGGATAAGGAGCATATGTAACTTCCCACTTTGATATGCACAGCTCCCCGCTGTAGGATGATGACTCAGGTTCTCCTTTACACTTAATACTCTGACATTCACAGGCACTGAAGTCCTTAAGGATATAGGTTGCCATGGATTTCTCTTGAAACGTTACAAAAGCCATTTCCAGTGGATTATTATGAACAGCTTGTTCCTCTTTTGAATAATCTTCCATCAGTTCATTTGCAATGTTGGTATAATAATCTATAGCATCCTCCCTTTCACATCCTCTCATTTCACAACAGCAGAATTGACCACATGGCTTAGGGTTGTTTTAGACCTGCTTGCTATACTGCTGACGCAGGTGTTGATAGTAAGTCAGGCTTTTTACTGCCCGTTTTCTTTTTTTTTTGAAGAGATGAATAAGCTTGGCTACATCATAGCACAACTGAAACTTAAGCACAGTGCAGATTGGCAGAAGTGAAATGGCCTTGTATTGTCTCTTCGTTTGCATTTTTTGGAAGACCAGTTATAAACAATGAGCAGTTAACAGGTTTTTTTTATATGTGACGTACTTCATGTGACGTCTCATGAAGACTGGTCAGAATCAAGTCAACAACAGCAAAAAGCATGTGCAGCCAATAAAGATGATTACCAGTTTTTAAGTTGACTATAGTTGTTCTTCCAAAATGTTCGATGTCGAAGTGGAGAGCAGTGACGAGTGGCATTCCTCAGGGGTCGGTACTGGGACCTGTACTATTCAACATCTTTGTTGTGGACATGGACAGTGGGGTCGAGTGCAACCTCAGCAAGTTTGCCGATGATACCAAGCTGTTTGGCGAGGTAGACACGCTGGAGGAGAGGGATGCCATCCAGAGGGACTTGGACAGGCTG